GGGGAATTCTGGGAGTTGAAGTCCACACATCTTCAAGCTGCCAAGGTTGAGAAACACTGCTCTAGAGCTTAGTTTGTGTCAAAACTCAACATGCAGGAGGGACCACCTCTGCTCGCCTGCAAAGTACACCTCGTGGAGGGTACCACTGATCAGTCCCAAAGTGGCAAGCTCTGGCCATGGGGACCTTTGGTTGGAAAAGGAAACCTCCAGATCGTGATGAACCAGGTCATTTCTCTTTCTATTAGCCGTGGCTCTTTCACGCCACTCATCCTTGGAACATCACAGAGTGAAGAAGCGGCCGTATTGTGCCTTCACAGGTTGCTCTCTCGGCTTGGACTTCTCAGCAAAAAACGTTGCATAAGGCAGCAAGGCAGAGGGAGGGAGGGAAAGGATGGCGTCTGCTCCTGCTTTGGCCAGATTTGATTCAGAGCTGCCTTTTGGGGAAGGGAGCAGCCTTCCCCAGCACATTCATTTCCTCTCCATCAATTTCTCCGAGCAGCTGTTGCACCATATTTCACAAAAGCTCTGCTGTGCAAGAAGGAGCGCGGCAATGGCCAGCTCCACTTCCCAGCCCCCAAACCGTCGATCTCCTCGCCAAAAGGGTTTTTGAAAAGCAAAATTTGCCTTTGATTATGCTAAAGGGTGGGGCGGTACCCATCCAGAACAGAAACTGGCAACGGGCAGCTGGGCTCCATCACAGACAAGTGCAGAGCGCCCATTTCCATTTCCCACAACATCCCTTTTGAACGCTCGCTGAAGTGGGGGATTCTGGGAAATCTGTGTCCAGGAGACCCACAATGCTCAGCACAGGAGGTTACGGGGAGTTCCTGCTTGCCTTTAGCAAGGCAGGCAGAACTGAATGGAGAAAACATTTTGCTCACAGTGCCTGAGCTCAGAGCTCTTGGAAATCAGGCCACTGGACTGATTGGGAATCCGCTCCAGATTTGTGGTATTTCAAAAATTAGCCTCCCGTCCAGCAGGTTGAGGGAGTGAAGATAAGAAAACAGAGCATGTTTCGTACCACTTGGTTCCTCTACCATCTTCTAGCTTTCTGACCACTGAGTGCAAAGCACTGGACATTTAAAAACTGTGTAGCACTAATGTTAAACATGTACAAGATAATCTACATTTATTCCTGGCTGTTCTGAATTCATTTTTCCTGGATGAACCTACAGCCTCCACTCCAAACCCAGTGGCAGGATACCCTACCCAACTCGGCTGCTGTCCTCCGAATTGTTATTCCCTCCCCGTGTTTTTGTCTATTACTTGCAAATGAGGAGGGAGAGCAAAGGGAAGTTAATCTGGAAACAAAGTTCCTGGAAGAATACAGGGAATTCATGTGAAATCCTAGGCGAAAGCCATTTTCCAGCTTTGTTTCCTTTAAAAATGGTTGCAGTTTCATATTTCTAGCAACACAAAAAACCAGAGTGGCAGTGTGGGAAAGGTGAAATCAAGATGGCAGCTGAGACGGGGCAATCAGAGCCCTTTTCAGGCCTGCTGCATGTTCGGGCACAGCGCATGTGCGAAACGGGGCGGAATTGCAGCTGCGAACTTGACTGTCTTGCCTCCTCCTCTGGATACACTCTTGCCCCTCCATGTGGCACAATTAGCAGGATAGGCAGACGTGGACCAGATAGCAAGGCTTTCTCTTGGGGTTCCCCATCCTTT